TGAAACATAAAACTAAGCAGCTATGAGAGCCTGAATGTGTGACAGCCTCCAGTCTTGGAATGATTTTTGGTTTTGTTTTATTTTGTTTTCTCGCACACTAAAAACACTGAATCAATATCTGATGCAACTTAACTCATCTATAAAATGATAATCTCGAAAGTCCATTCCAGGATTAGTATGCAATGATTCTAAAACTTAAGGTTTTCAGGGACGTGGAATCAGAGTCATACTACAATTAGAAGAGCTCTTTGTAAAATGAGGAAACTGCTGCTTTCTGAAGTTTATCAGCAATCATCTAAAAACAGTGGGTCCACCTCAGAATCAAAATGAGGGCTTCCCGTTTTCTCAAATGTGAAATGCCTTATATCCAGAATGTATTATCTCACACTGACAATTAGAATATTCTGAATTGCAAGAAATCACATGGACTGGGTTTCTTATTGTTACATGAGGCAGATCCTTACGTGAGAACCAGTGCTGAAAGTCCTGTCATAGTCCAGCAATCAACAGGCAGGTTGGGCTACACTGTGTCCTTAACTAACTCAGCATTTTCACATCCCAGAAACACGTCTACACCAGTATCCTTAAAGCAGTCTAAACTGGGACTTTGAAGTAGTCCAGTGAACTCAGTCGAACAAGGTTGACTAGGACCCAGTCATCACCTGAAACCATTTAGATCTTGCTATTCAATAAGTACTTATTGACCTCCTCCTCTGTGCCTAGTACTATGCAGCAGTAACAATTCAGAGGTGAACAATATGTAACCCTCCCCTTAGAGATCATAGCCATAGCCTGGTAGATACATTTAAAAATGAATAGAGAAATACAGTGAAATATGTGCTAAGCAGAGATGAGGACAGGAAGCTACAGTCACACGTAGAGGAGTCATCTAACCATCTTGGAAGGCCACAGAAGGCATTCTGAAGGGGGACTTATATAAAATGAGACCTGGAAGACCACTAGAGTACTATACAGTGATTCGACCTTGAAGAAGAGTGACCCATCTGCTAGAACAGGAAGTTCGATATTAGCAGAGTGTTCATGTGGCAACAGCCAGTGGAGCAGTGTTTCTCCACACAGCTGTGGTCCTCCACCCACCTGCAGAGTCCCATCTTTCGGAGCTGCTGAATGTGCAGATTTGTGGGCTCCAACCCAGCCTGGCTGAATTAGAATCTCTTGAGGTGGAGTCTGGAGTACTGAATTGTAAAAGTTTATCAAGTGATTTTGGTAAAAGTTGAAGTTTAGGAACCACTGCAATGACAAGCAGCCCCTTCTTGCTGGTGGCTGCCAAGGTCCAGGAGCTAAAGGTGGTCATGTGTCTGTATGGAAAGTTAGTCAGCAACAAAGAACCCTGAGTGAATTCCCAGTAATTGGGTTGGAGTTTTGAAACAGATTTAAGTTATTTAAGAAAAGGGATGGCAATCCTTATCAGATTGTCAAGCCAGGATTCTGCCACAGAGGAAGATGTCAGTATTAAGGGACCAGAGCTGAAAGACAGAGAAGGACCAAGTGACAAGAATGAGAAAAAAGTTTAAATGATAACTTGATCTTAAAGTCAAAGATAAACTGGTCACATAGGTGACCTCATGCTGAGTGCCAGGTTGTTGGGCCAGGTCTGTAGCTGGGAGTCAATGAGACTTTGATGTCAAAAGAAGACAATTTCTGAGGCTGGTAAATCAGTCAGGCCCCATATATCCTGGGAATAAATGATGTGTGGCGTGGTGTGCTTTATTATGTTATAACTTAGTATTCTAATAAAATCACTGAATCCCTTTTGCTCTAGTATTATTCTCTCTTCTTGTAGATATTCAGCTCTCAGTATTTCAACATTCATCTACTTTATATAATGAGGTAGAAACTGTTACTGCATTCTAACCAAAATTTGATCATGAATTAAGGTGTCCTGTAACAGGATTAGGGACCCACTTCTATGATATTTGCGATGATAATTTGGAATTGCTGATCAATGCAGGTCTTTGTAGTGCAAAGCAAACAATTAAAATCCCTTTACTCAAAGCTGTTTTCTGACTTAATCTGCATTTAGTGGTAGTTAATTTCACTTATGGTTCCTAAACAACTAACAGTTTCTACAGGTCACAGGATTAATCCAAGGAACTATGAGCAATAGCAAGCAAGAAGCCCCAGCTGTGTCTTGTTTATTAATTAATCCAACCCTGTGTTCATGCTCTTGGCATTCTTGCCTGGATGACATTCATCTACTTCCAACACTCATGGTAGTTCAAAGCAAAAGGCATATATAGAACACCCTCCACAACTAGTGTTTGTTTGTTTGTTTGGAAAAAGCAAAGTGTAGTATATGGTACGGGCACTGGAATCAGAAAGACTTGATTTCAGTCTCTCCTTGCACTGATTAACTTGTGTGAACCTGAGTGAGTTGTTTATTTCTGAGATTCTTATCAGTAAAACTGAGGTTTTAATATTATGTGGTTCTCTAGCTCACTGAACTGCTTTGAAATTAAGACAATTGTACATAAGGAAAGCCTTTAGAAGAGCATATGGAAAGTTAGCTATCTTTATTTTTTTGCTGTTGTTATACAGGCACTCCAGCTTTCAGGTACTATATGAGGTAACATCCTCTGGAATCACTTGTTTACTATGTGTCTCCTTTTCTCATGCACAGTGTCCTCACAGGTCTCCTCTGGGAACTCCAAAGAGAATGCTCCCTGTACACATGATCAAGGGAAAACTGCCTCAAGGCATCCATCATGTTCTTCCTCTCCTGCCTGGAGCCCTGACATATATCCCCTGTCTATGCTTCCAAGGGACCACACCACTGTCACTACTACTGCTGAGAATGCCCATGTCCTAGCCTATGACGATGCCTTCTGATGCTCTCAAAACTCCAAGAATGTCACACTCTATCACCTGGAGCAGGGTGATAGAGCACCAATAATCCACAGAATGTCTTATGAGAACAATTTATTTAGCTATTATATGCAGCCCTATTCTCCACACAGCCATATATACGTGACTCCATGCATTCAGTCAAGGTAACTATTTCTTAAAGAAAGTCTAGACTTTCATCCCTACCCTCTTCCAAGCTCCTGTCACCATATCCTGCAAAATCAACATGCTGGTAAACCCTTGCAACAGTGACTTCTTGAAGACGTAGAGTTCAGTGATTAAAAGCAAAGGATCTGAGTCACACTGTTTAGATTTAAGGGGAAAAGAACAGCCCCTCTGTGCCTCAGTTTTTGGGTTGTTTTCAGGAAAAAAAAAAAAAAAGTAATGTAGTAATAGAGCCTAATTGATACAGTTTGGCTCCGTGTCCCCACCCAAATCTCATCTCAAATTGCAATCCTCATAATCCCCATGTGTGGAGGGTGGGACCTGGTGGGAGGTGATTGGATCATAAGGCCGGTTTCCCCCATGCTTTTCTCGTGATAGTGAGTGTGTTCTCACGAGATCTGATAGTTTGATAAGTATGTGACAGTCCCTCCTGCACACACTCACTCTCTCTCCTGCTACCTTGTAAAGAAGGTACTTGCTTCTCCTTTGCATTCTGCCACGATTGTAAGTTTCGCGAGGCCTCCCCAGCCATGTGAAACTGTGAGTCAACTAAACCTCTTCCCTTTATAAATTACCCAGTCTCGGGCATTTCCTTACAGCAGTGTGAGAACAGACTAATATACTAATTCACAAAGAAATTTTGTGGGCCTAAATGAGGTGAGGTATCTGAAACACTAAGATTGGGCCCTGGCACTTATCATTAACTCAGCAAATGGTAACATTAGCAAGCACTCCTTTTCTGGTAGCCACTTATGAACTTAATGTTTACGTTCCTCCAGATTCTTACGTGATAATCCTTCAGTGCACTCATTCCATTCATGAGGGCTCCACCCTCATGAATGTAATAATTATTACAATGTAACTATTAATTACAACAATTATTATTAATAAAATAATTATTACATTGAGGTGGGGTCTTTGGGAAGGGATTAGGTGGTGAGGGTGGCGCCCTCATGAATGCGATTAGTGCACTTACAGAAGAGGACCGAGAACTAGCTTGCTTTCTTTCTGCCATGTGAAGATACAAGTCAAAGTCAGCCATCTGCAACCTGAATGTGGGCCCTCACCAGAGCCCAGTCATGATGGCACTCTGATCATGGACTTCTCAACCTCCAGAACTGTGATAAATAAATGTTTGTTTGCCTGTAATCCCAGCACTTTGGGAGGCTGAGCCGGGCTGATCACGAGGTCAGGAGATTGAGACCATCCTGGCTAACAAGGTGAAACCCTGTCTCTACTAAAAATACAAAAAAATGAGCCGGGCATGGTGGTGGGTGCCTGTAGTTCCAGCTACTTGGGAGGCTGAGTCAGGAGAATGGTGTGAACCTGGGAGGCAGAGCTTGCAGTGAACCAAGATTGTGCCACTGCACTCCAGCCTGGATGACAGAGCGAGACTCTGTGTCGATAGATAGATAGATAGATAGATAGATAGATAGATAGATAGATAAATAAATATTTGTGTTCAAGTCACCCGGTCTATGGTAATTTGTTACAGCAGCCCGAACTCACTGAAATACTATAAATTAAGACAAAACTAAGGCTTCTTCCACAACTTAACAAAATCACAAATGTTTCTAGTCCTATAGATTTGTTATTTTTCTCTTAATGGCTACAATTGGCATAACCGATATTGTAATAAACCCCTTAAATATAAGTTTAAGTGAGGAGAAAATAATATGAAGCTTTGTTTTTCAGAAGCAGTAACCAATTATATCCCATATAAGGTTGAAACATCCAGGTTTACAAAAGAAGCATCCTACCCAGCAGATTGAAGACTCTAACACATTGATTTAATTACATTTGTATAAGCATTGTTTCCTCAGAATTATTCCTTTATGGAAAAAGTGAACCATGAATTGCATTCACATAAATACATAATAAAGCAGTTCATGCCATAATAATAATATTTGTATATCACATATATAATATAAAGTGTTTTATAAACTTTTATAATTTAATTTAATCTCATAATTCACTTTTATAATTTATAATTTAATTTAATCTTACAACAACCACATATGACAAGTACAGCAGATATTGTTTCTATATTACAGACAAGAAAACTAAAGTTCAGAGTGGGTGCATAAATCAAACTAGTCATGCTCCTGGAAATAGTGAAGCCACAACTTGAATCTAAGACTTTTAAAATCCTATACTAAAACTTGTTTACTGTAACACTATGAATGAAGTTGTTTGCCTTGATTAATTTTTTGTATATGCATTTTGATATGCCAATCCATTACTCTTCAATTCTGCCAAATTTACTTGCTGAACACATTCCACCACGTCTTACAATAAGATGCCAAATAGCATGAGGATTCTCATCCTTCTCTGACCTCTCTTTTGAGTTTCCTGCCTGGGAACCTGTGGGAAAACAAAATCAAGGGTGAGAACTAAAGCAAAACTCAAAGTTTGTGCTCTCTTCCTTCTTCTAAACTTGCTATTAGGCCAGTGGTTCTCAATTCTAACTGCATCTAAAAAATATCTGGGGAACTCTCCAAAAATGCCAAAACCTGAGTCACACCCAGGGCCAATGAACTCAGAATCTCTGAAGATGGAGCTGGGATATGGGGAGTTTACAAAAGCTCCTAGGTGCTTCCAGTGCACAGCCAGAGTTTGAAAACCAGTGTGCTGGCATAACCAACAGATCTCAAAGGCAAAGTGGGGAACCACAGTAGCTCTTAAAATAAGCACTCATCACTGCTCCAGAGAAGGCCAGAGATTTGAGAAAGACATGCACTGTGCCTGCTTCAGGGGCAAAAATGGGAATCTGAGTGAAGAGACAGCCAGATTCTTCATGTCATCTCTAGCAGCAAGTGCCAGAATAGAGGGAGCATTCTTTTCTTCATCCAGCCTAAGCTTTCCATATCTATATGTTACCCAAGTTGTTTCTAGCTGGTAAGGATTACCCCATTTTCAATTACCATTGTGACATTCATGATTGTGTTGTTGTTGTTGGAGCTTTGATTGTTAGGGTGGTGACTGGTAACAGAAACATAATCTTTCAAAGGTGCAGCATTTATTGACTTTTATTTCAACTTAAAATAAGTGACCTATTGCTTCTTGCATTATTGTCAACTCTGAGTTTACAGGAAAAATCCTACCTTTGCCCTTGATTTATGACAAAAATATTTTTTAAATGTGAAATCATTCTTTTGATGTTTGCAGTACATTTCAAATGAAGATGTAATCTTTTGCCACTATTCAGAATTTGTCCCATCTGCCCCAATAAAAACACAAGTTATAGATTCAAGAATATCCATAGGAATCCTTTAACTCTGTATCAACAGACAAAGAAATCATTCTTGAAATACATCTGATGACATGATAGACTGGTAAAGTCAAATCTCTCCAGAAGCAAAAATTAACTATGATTACTTGATGTAAGACATCACTCAAACCAATCAAATGTTATTTTGGGAAATCATAAATTTATATCCAGCGTCAGTTTGTCACTCATTAAGTTCTTATAAGAATGATTAGGAAATTATCTTAATAAGTAAACGTTAGTCTTAATCTCTTCTTACTTTGATGGCTTAAAAATATAAGTTTATATCAATTCATTGGGTCTCGCTAAATGACTCTGCCTCTTTGGAGGGTTATTTATTCTACTATTAATAAACTTTAGGATTGACAAGAAATTCTTGCATCACTCCAATCTGCAACAAAACTACCTACCATGTGTTAGTAGGGCTTTCAAAACATGATTTTATAATTAACATTAATAAATATTTGCTTGGTACCTACTATGTTCCAGACCCTGTGAAAGGTGCTAGAAATATATGAAAATCTCATTACCTTAAAATTGTTTCCATACACAAAAACTCCAGGAGCAGACAGCAGTCTTGCCAAGGTGTCATTTTAGTGACTGACATGGATCACCACCCCCTGGCAGTCAACAATGACAGCAAGCAAAGCTGCTTAACAGAGAGTTACTGATCTTCCAGCTGTATTTTGCTTGTCACTGCTTTGAAAGATGCTTACTTTGAAGATCTCCGTCATGTGGAAGAGAAAAGGCACGATGTAACCTATAAATCAAGAAACAGTGAGGTTTTAGAGACACAAGTAAACCACCATGTCAATAACTCAGAGAGCTCACAAAGAAGGTAAACATGGTGAATAAAATAAAGAGTCCGTGAACCTGATGATAAAGGAATCAATTTCTTCTCCAATAAATATTTTGTAAGCACCGTAGCAAGAATAGAAGAAAAGAGTCTCCTTCCCACCCTTTGCCCAAAGGAAGAAAGATCTAATCACAGGAGACGCTCCAGGATGACTAAAGTCTCATAATGAATAGGTCTACTGATGTCCACCTTTCAATGGAAAGTATGGACCTCGTAGATTCACTTCCAAATTCCTCCCAAAATGACTGTGAGTACTCTCTTCCATTGTTATTGAACCTGGAAAAAAATATTTCTGATGTATTATTGATCACTTATCAATCCCCCAAACTGACGACGGCAGTTCTTAGATTGACTGTTAAACCTCATTCATCATGATTATGCTGAATGTTTGTATGTAGTTTATGGGTTTTATATCTGCAGTCATTCCTTCATTTTTCCATAGAAATCGTATAAACAATGATGATACAATTTTTTTTTTTTTCGAGACAGTGTCTCGCTCTGTCGCCCAGGCTGGAGTGCAGTGGCGCTATCTTGGCTCACTGCAAGCTCCACGTCCCGGGTTCACGCCATTCTCCTGGCTCAGCCTCCTGAGTAGCTGGGACTACAGGCGCCAGCCACCACGCCCGGCTAATTTTTTATATTTTTTGTTAGTAGAGATGAGGTTTCAACATGTTAGCCAGGATGATCTCGATCTCCTGGCCTCATGATCCACTCTCCTCGGCCTCCCAAAGTGCTGGGATTACAGGCATGAGTCACGGCGCCCGGACAACAATGATGATGTAATTTAAATTTTATTCAATTTACTGGATTTTAAATGTTTTCTGCATGCAGATCATGAAGAAGAACTATGTTCGTAGAAAATGTCTACAAAGCAGGACCATGGCCAGCCACTTTTAATTTAACCCAATTCACGAAAAGTACAGTAAAATGTCATTTATTTGGACTTTATTAATTTTAAATATATGAAAATCCATATGGCTGAAGGTGATCTGTGAAATTATATCTAGATTTGAATACCAGTTCACCACTTGAAAACTTATTAAAATTTCTAAACCTCTGTTTACTCATATGTAAAATGGGTACAATCTCTTTATTTTTTTCTAATTACTGCTACTGCTAGCACTCTATTCCAACCTGCAAACATTTTGTACCTAGAATACTACAAAACTCTCCTAACTAGTTCCCCTGACTCCATTCTTGTCTACTCCACCTTCCCCCTTCTCGCCAAAAAAAAATAGGCTATTATTTATATAGAGGCCAGAGTGATTTTTTTTTGAGTCAGATTATTTCACTCCTCTAATAGAAACTCCAATGACTTCCTATTTTACTCAATAAAATTCAGACTCCCTCTTGTGGCCAACAAGACCCACATGAGCTACCCTCACCCACACCCCCACTACCATCACATCTTCCCTAACCTCATCTTTTACCACTCTCTCAATTGGAAATGTTGGTCCTTCCACCCTAGTCACATGGGCATTTCACATAAGCTCTGCACCAACCTGAAATGCACTTCTCCCAGAATGTCACATGGCTTGTCTGCCCACTCTCAGTTCAATGCCACCTTCCCTGGTTATGTTATTTAAAATAACATTCCATCCTTAGTCTCTCAGACACTCTGTATGCCCCTCACCCTGCTTTACTCTTCTTCACAATACTTCTCAGGGTGTGACTTAGAAGGTGGCTTTTGTTTAATATCTGTTTCTCCGTAACAGATTCGCCTCTGTGAGAAGAAGGATTATTGTCTCTTTTATTCACTGCTATATCCTCTGCATGGAGAATAGTGCCTGGCATATAGTAAATTCTCAGCAAGTATATAAAAATGGATGGTTTCTTCTGCTTAGTAATGCCTTTCATGGCCTATTTTAGTTACATGAAAATAACAAATTCATTTTTCTTAATATAATCCATAACCAAGTTTTTCACTAACTCAGATCTGATTTATACCTGAATGAATGTTATTCTGTCAGAAGGGATAAATATGTGATCCCGTTAAGACAAAAACTCGGTAGCAGATCTTTTTGAAGTCTTACAACTATTTTACTTTCTTGGAAAATCAACCTATTTTTGTTTTTTTATCAGTTTAATTGTATATCTGAGATGATCTTAGTTATGACACCTTGACCTTAATAACCTTGGCTAATTATACAATACTGGTACAATTATATAATAATTGAATTTTAAAATTCTATTAAATCCATGTTTGAGTTATAAACGTAAAATCACCAAAGCTGGGTGTAGTAATTTTAAAATATGGCCCCAAATGATTTCACAGCCCTTCCATTGGAAGGTAAGGTCTATCTCTCCTCCCCTTGAATGTGGGTAAACTTGTGACTTCTTGACTTATAAAGCATGGACTTCCTGGGCTAGATCAGAATCGATTATGCAACTGCCACTTTATTCTCTAAGAACGTTCACATGGGGGTAAGCCAGGCACCATCTAAAGAGTCTGCCTACCCTAAGACCTCCCTGATGAAGAGCCCATGTATAGGCACTCCAACTAACCGTCCCAGCTAAGCACCCATTTGACACTCAGCATCAACTGCTGGCCACCAGCCTATGCCAGGCTTCAAATGGCCACAGACCTAGCTGACACCTAATTACAACCAAATGAGAAACACCAAGGGAAGATGTCCAACCAGCCTCTTCCTGAATTTCAGACCCACAAAACTAGAGTAAAATTAAATATTTGTTTGTTTTTACACTTCTACATTTGGAAGTCATTTATTACCCAGCAATAGAAACTTATACGGCAGGAAATGCTGTCTCCCCTGTATTGTTCTGACTCTGTTTTCCACATGGTAAGAAAACGATCCATGGAAAATGTAGTGGATTTTATCAACATTGGTTTTGATTCACACAACAAGATAGAAAATCATTAAAACTAGAAAGCATGTTGATTTCAGTGTTCTGAAAATGCAGCCTGTATAAGCTGTGGTCTATCAAGACCACTGAGTTAGAGCAGAGGTAGTTAAATTATGGGCCTGCTCACCAAATCTGGCCCACCACTTGTCTTATATAAAATAAAATAGATACAGCCCACAAAGTCTAAAATATTTACTACCTTGCCCTCTACCCAAAAGGTTTGCTGATCTCTGAGTTGGAGAATGGCAAAGCTAGAACGAGAATATAAGTGTTCTAAGTATTCTTTTCTTACTATGTTGTTCGGCAAAAATATCATTTTTCAATAACATCACTATATTTTAATGGGCTTATTTCATGATTCTTATCAGCACTTCTTAAATTTTGTAAGGATATTTAGTTGTTGTTGTTTTGGGGGGCTCCCCCAGCCCCATTTTTTAAGTCTTCTTGTTTTGCTTTTAGTTTTCCTATCAAAAAGAAAGAGATAAGTCACAGGAGAAGGAACACACATCACTTAGAGTTTTCTATGATACCATCAGTGAAGCAAATTCATATCAATTGAAGAAAATTAATATCTTAGGTCAGGGGTTGGCAAACTTTTTCTACAAGAGCAAGGCTAGTTTTAACTTTGCAAACCACATGCTCTCTGTCTCATCTACTTGACCCTGATGTTTAACACAAAAGCAGCCACAGACAGTGCTCAAATAACTGGCTATGTTTGTGTACAATAAGACTTTATTTACAGAAGCAAGTGGTGGGCTGGAGTTAGCCTGCAATCGTCGTTAGCCCACCCCGATTTTGGATAATGTAGGGACACATGCACAAGCAGAGAGGTAGCAGGCATGTGGCGCTGTTGCTTGAGAAGTTTGCAGTTGTAAATCCTACACAGAGAAGGAAGGGGAATACCATACATGAGATTCATGTCATAACAATATTTTGCCTGTGTGCTACATTTTTTAATTCAGTGTACTCTAAAATAATATCCAGTTTATGAATAATATTGAATTAGAGTTGAGTTAATATACCGAAAGACCTCATATGTTAAAATTTAGTCTTTATTATTACAACTTGAAAATCTTACCTTTTTGCAGTCGATTTAGTTCTTCAAGATATAAAAAGAGGTCATTTCAGACTTCAGTAGCCCCACGAAAACAGCTACCTCCCAGCCTGAGAGTCCTAAAACAGGCTTTTTTCCCTCTGTTGTCAAACCTTCCTAAACACAGTATTCTCAGACTGTGTGGTATGTTTTCCTCCTAGTTTTCAGAATCCCTGAAGTTCTTCCAATACAAAAAAAAAAAAAAGGCTTATTTTTACCAGTTGGTGGAGGATGTTCCACTTTCAAAGGGAGAGAATTTTTAATTCCCTCCATAGGGCTTCATAGCTATTGTAAACTTCATGGGCAGACTTTCACCTGCATAGAGGACCAATTCCACATAATGTCAACCATTCTGGGGTAAAATGGATGGGGTGAGGGTAATAGTTACTCTGTACCCATTACTGGCACATAGTTAAAAGGTAATATTAAAATAGACTTTGGGGAAAATTTTATGTTTTATATTTACCTCAAAATAAATGCCTACTTAGACAAAAAATAAATTTTTTTTCCAGGGCTAAAAGCAAATAAATAAATTTTCTAGAGATTCAAAAAGGAAAAGAATATTACCTTTGTCCCTAGGATAGATATATAGATGGATAAATTTCAGAGCATTTAAAAATGCACTGAAAAAGTAAGCAACTAATTAGCAATTAGAAATGTATAGTAACATTGATTACATAAATATAAGTGTACATGTATAAATAATTATAAAAAGCAAGGTACAAATATTATAGTATTACTTTCAACCAGTTCAATCTGAAGATCAGGAAATTCTGAAATGTTTGCTTTGAAAGCTCAGAGAATTATCCACGTGTGAAAAAATCCAAAATTGCTTCAAAGTGTAAAAATTATTCTTCTTTCCACCTACAAGTAAGTCAAAATTGCTATGCACATTTTCATCAAATTTTTTTTAAAAGAAATTATCCAGCAAGGAAAATCTCTGAAGCTATACAGTAAAATCTTCAGGGACAAAAGAAAATTATTCTCAGTGCCTGCATCTATAGAGTACAGACCAAACAAACCACCCCCTACACACAAGCACGTGTGTGTGTATGTTTATTAACTGATTCAACACAATTTTACTGAGAGCCGTGTACATTAATTTGTACACATTGTCTAAATATAGGCATGTATATTTTACATGAGTATAATCGTATGTGTGAATATATCTGCAAAAGCAAAGCCAAGAGGAAGGCCTAAGGAGAAAGAGCAAATATTCATGTGAAGAAACCCCCAACCACATGAAGGCACCAGAAATTATCCTATATACACACAAATGTTGTATATAGTGATGTTAGAGATCATAATGAATATTAGAGGTGAGGACAGGATGACCTCAAGGGTATCCTTCTGGAGCATCAGAAATGTCATTGATGGGCAGTGATGGAGAGGCACCTGCTCTTAGGAGAGGACATGGAGGAAAAGGCAGAAAAGATAAACTGTTTGAGAGCAATAATTAAAATTGGAAATTCTTCTGTAAACTTTTTAATTCAACATTTTAAAGTAAAATTGATTATTTAAAAATACTCCTTAAGTTGTCGGGAAGACTGCTTAAAATTTGTGGTTGTTTTGGTTGTAATTAATAATAGTAATGACCACCGTTTTCACTTCTAAAGTAAGAAAAAGTAGAGGCTGGCCATTTAACTTTTCTCCTTAATCTCTGGCAAGCCAATATATCAATTGCCGTTCATAGCCAGAAATAAGGAACTAAATTAGTAATCTATATATAAGATGCTTCTCAGGTAGGTAGCAACTTACCTAGTGACACTAGGGAAAAGGATGCTCTTATCATAACCGATACACCATTATGTAGTCTCCAGGCCAGCATGCTTGTTGAAGTTAACAGGTGGCTGCAGCCATCATAAGATTACCATTGAGAAAAATTCAACATGATAGAATATTAAATAGATTTATGCAGAGATAAAAATAGATTAGTAATTATAATAGCCAGACCCAAGATTTCCAAACTAATAGATACCTGGGTTTTAATTCTGGCTTAGAAATATAACACACACCTGTTGGAAGCTTATTATTTCATTAGAGAAGTACATAGGGAAAAACTCCAAGCCCTAGGAATTCAGCAAAAAAAAGTTCATTTTTTTTGAAGTGGAAAGAATGTCCAGAAACTATTAGAACCCACATTCCCTCCATTGCTCTTCCCAGGAAGATCAACACTCACTTCAACAAGAGAAAATGTCTCACTGTGAAAAAACAGGGCTCATTGTGAAGCTGAAGGAGCCAAGCAGACTTGTCTGCTTAAGACCTAAAGGTCTGCCCAAGAGACAGAGCCCTGAAAAGAGGTGAACCTAGTCAGCACAGAAAGTATCTTGGCAGGAGCCATCTAACTGCGAACACCAATACCTCTATAGCTTCTACTTTAGAAATAGTGCCAGACCAAGCCAGCTTACCTGGTCATCTTTCATTCCCAACTAGATCTGCCCAGTACCTCATGGCAGATGATCAAAGAACACTACCATCTCGGTGTGGCCTCCCAGCCCCATACCTGCCAGGCTGCAGCCTGCCCAGTGCAGGGGGGTGGGGTCAGAAGGACATTTTAAAAGGGGAAGCAAAAGACCTTTAATATTTTGAGCAGAATGATAACTTCTTGGCAGGTTATATTGCAATAGTACTTTGGTTATGTAATGATCATCTCAATGACACATTCATTTGCCAGAAAATAATAACAAAAATAATAACGGTGAAATACAAGGATTTGTTCCAGAATGTAAATCCTTGACCAATGCTTCCTCTAGAAAGATAAGCTGTGACGCTGCAGATTTCCTTGACCTACACAGAGTGAGCCACCCGTTCCCAGTGACCCAGAAGCCATGGCACAGGCAGCTAGTGCATTCTGTAACCCAGCTCAATGAGAACTAAGAGTTTGGTGCCCCCTCTTCCTCACCAGAGAGTCTAATTGTATTGGCCACCCTGCTCAACCTCCCCCCACTGGTCCAGCGCCAAGTTGCCTGAAACTTCCCCACACCACACACAACATGGCTAACAAGAACCTCTGTTCCTAATACATTTGATCATCAAAATAGCACCATGTTTCCCCCAGAGAAATGCAATTTCATCTCCATTTCAAGTAGTTTGATGTGTGGTAATCAGAGGGAGACATAAATTTTGAACTTGAGCTTTATGTTGTGACTAGCATTAATTTAAATGCCTTGCATCAAAGATCTGAGCTATTCCTCTAAAACTGCTTTAAAACCCACCATGACTTTTCGTTGCTTCAGAAACCCACAGTGCAATCTGCAACGCATTATAAATTTTAAGCAAAGAATCTTATCTATATTTTCTTGTGCATTCCAAAACTCCCTAAAATACTGATCAGAGACAGTGCCCACATTCCAAGACTAGTGCCACAAGTTTGCTACAAGTTGAGAGAGGAAAAAAAAATTAAAGTAACAGATGTTTGGGTTGCCTACTTCTGTTATTTTCAAAACTTCATCAACAATGCAAAGTTTTAAATTAGAAATGTACTATAGTTCTATTGTTCCCTATGGAAATTTTTAACTAAAACCAGAGTCTAGGAATTCATTTTCAAGTAAATATTCCAACTTTGGTTTTAAGAGGAAAAACTACATATATATATATATATATCTTCTTAGAAGGAAAGAAAGTTACGTCTGATGAGAAGCCCCCTCCACTCAGCACCGCAGCAGGGAGCAGAATTCAATTGGTGGTAACTGCTCCCCACTGCTCTTGCAGACTTGGTGGCTCCATGGGGTGTGCTCTCAAGCCTTCTGCTGTCCAAAGGAGAAGCTGTAGGGGATACTCACGGCCCCACTACAGCTAGAAAATTTTGTGGGTCTGGTCCTGTCAATCCTCGGGATAGCTCCACGTGAGGTATTCTCACTCACTTCAAAGACAGGGCAGCTTTAGAAGCCCTTCCAGAAGGCTTGCCTGCATCAACTCAGCATCCATGCTGCTCATCCCCCTCCTGGTTCTGCATGCCCGTCAAGGAAAGCTATTAGCTCCCTCCTGGCCTCAAAGGGAAGGGGGAGGAGAGTTCATTGTTTTCTCTCAAACCTGCAACCCTGGTGGCTAGTGGCTCACATATTAACTTAATTCAAAAGATTAGCAACACAGGGCTTAAATTATATAAGATTCAGAAAAGTTCTGACCCAGGCTGAGAATGGAGACTAGACCAACAAGTGGAAACTCATAAAGCAGAGCCAGTTTTATTTGAATGTAAATTGATAGAAGGAAGTCAATATCTTTGGTCGGTGGTATTGTTCCTAAAATCCTTTTGTCCTATATCAGTGCCCCCATCTCTTCCACAAAACTACTCCTGACTCCACTAGCCACAGTAATCCCTCCTTTCTCGGAGCTCTTAAAAATACATGTAGTATCTGCTGCCAACTTAGCACTTTATTATATACTTACCTGTATTAGCCTCTGTATTATATTTTTAATACTGACTCTCCAAATTGATTTTGAGTGTCTCAAGGGCAAAGAGAATGTATTTCACTTACTTTCAGGACCTATCACAGGAAGAGTGGGGAAAGGGGACCCAAGAGGACCACTTGGCATAAGCCTCGTATTTAAAACAGGCCTCAAATTTAGATTTTTGATGATATCTCCAAATAAGGTTATACCTCAATTTTCATAGACGTACTGGCAAGAGTTTTTAAAAGAAGCATATCATCCAACAACTTAAAATTCATCAGTTTCTATGATGCTCTTTTGGTATTACTTATTTTAATACTCCAGAAGCCTCAAAAAAATAGAAATAATTTAGTTTACCTCAGATTTTCTGTAGTGCCTGGCACTCTGTTACAAAAGCTAAATGCAGAAAATGCTCCCTAATGGTCACCAGATATGCTGCAGATGGAGGGAAGAAGTACAAAACTGTTACAGCACTTGACTATAACAAAAGCAGAGTCAGAGACCCAGGGCAACTGAAAAGATCCCAGGCAAACTGGCTAGAGCGAGCCCCTAAAGCAGTTGTGTGTGTTTTCAGGGTCTCTCTCTCCTGTACAGCTACCTTGGTCTCCTTCCTGATAACAGCATTAGCATCAAAAGAAGGGGGCTGTCCTCTTTGATTGATAATAAAGCACCTCCTAAGAACTTGAAGATAAGGCAGCTTTGTAAACCAGTGGAACTTAGAGACAATAGCTGTGCTTCACCAGGTGTGAGAGAAAGCCAAGCAGGAAACT